AAACGTTTCATTAGAGAAGAACCCGTCCAGAAGACCTATACAATTTTTTTCTTTTTGATTTTTTACCTGGATTACTGAGATGCATCAGGACACTGGTGATGCACATTCCCCGAAGCACAAAAGCAGGAAACATGACTGACTCATGAGAAAAACTCTAATTGCTCGGGTTACTTTAATTAAGAATTTTAAACACTAGTAAAATGTTTGTTTCAGTCAGCAAGTAGTTATCAAATCTTAGTCATGTGTTAGAAAACCCAAGAAAAAAATGTGAAATCACAGGAGCAGTGTGCACATGTCGTGCATTAACAAAGTGAACAAAAAAAATGTTAGTGACCATAACTCCATGGTAATGACTTTAGTGTAAAAAAACACAACAGCTACTTAAAATAAACAAAAGTACCTTCCTCTGGGTGCAATTTTCCAAGAACTGACAAGAAACACACCCAGCATTCAATAAAACAATGTCGTGACACAGACATTATCCTAAAAGTGAATCACTACTTCAATGTCCTTTAATGTTTGTGTTTTTGTCTATGAATTTCAAACCCTGATTAAGAGGAAGTGGCTGAGATTTTAGATTTCATCAAAATATAAACGGATCATTAAACACAACCTTCTCATCCGACAGCCAAAAACTAATAGTTTAAATCATTAAGCAAAACCATTCTGCGGTATTTCCTTCACGTTACAGTGATAGCTGTAAAGGTCGTGACAGACACACTTCTACAAACAAAAAACACACACCGGGCACTGCCAGCCGCTTACATTTAGTACTTAGCTGGCAGCTAAATCTCACTGGCTAACTAGCCACTGGGAAAAAAAGCTAGCAAAGCTAACATGCTAACACAGTTAGCGAGTTGCCTTATGGATAAGAGTTGAATGGCATACCGTAAGAGTCCTTAAATGTTACGTGGGAAACTCCTTCTCAATGCATCTGATGTCCCGTTTATATTAAACTCAAAGGCGACACAGCCGCACATCACCACGGAGAACACACAACAGGCTGACTGACCAGTAACAAACGAGCTTCCGGGGTTCATTTCGTTTTTGTCCGGTAACTTTCGGAAATGTCCGGTGAAGAATTCTTCAGTAAACAAGCGCCACCCTGTGGTGAGAGTGGAAACTGCATCACAAAAAGGACTATTACCACCGGCATCGGAAGGATGGACTCATGAAGTTGAAAAAAAAAAAAAACCATTTTAAAATATTGTACATGTTTTCTAATAAACATTTTACAGTTGTAAAGTAGACAAAAAGATGGAGAATTCAAACATCCAGTAGCAACAAAACAATACTCAGTGAATGTGGTTTTGTAAACACAAAATAAGTAAATAATCACAGAAGTCTGCAGGCAGAAATTTGAAATTATATACAACCTCAACTAGTCTCTTAAATCCCTCAGTTCTTCTCTATTATTTTAATCCATTTGAACTAAAATAGAGAAAACCCCTGGTTTCTGCCTATTATACTTAATTTAATAATTCACTTTATATTTTAATTAGACTGTATGTGTGTAACTATATACCCTCCCAGCTGACAAAAGCTGACGTTTTTTGAGTGGCAAGTGTCTGTGATAAGCTCTGTGACTGTTATAAAAACAATCATATATTATATCTGCTGCTGAGAATTGTTT